AGCAGCCGCCGCCACGCGCGGCCCCGCAGCACGGGCGCGGCGAGGGCGGCGAGGGCTCCTCGTACGGCGACGTGGGCGTCAAGGTGGAGAGCCCGCCCTTCGCCATCCCCGTGCCCGGCGCCCACGGTGAGTGACGCGGCGCGGACACGGGCGTGGGGGGCGGCAGGCCGGGCCCTTCCCCACCGGGGCCCTGCCACTGCTGCTAGTGTTGCTGACCCTATTCCCTGCACTACTTACTATCACTTTTACATCGTTATTGTTAYCACTATTACCATTATTGCTGTTATTGTTATTAGTATAATATTACTGTTTTTATTATTGGTAGTATTCTATTCTCGGTCCCCACCAGGTTGTGCRCTCCTTTGCCAGCCGGCACGCTGCTGCTGGTCGTACTTTAAACAATAATAGCAACAACAATAACAATAACAGTAATTCCAGYGGACCTTGGCAGGTGGGCTGCAAGTGAGGGGGTAGCATTTGTGCAGCGCGGTGCTCCCCACAGCACCCGTCCTCGCTGGCCCCACAGCACCGTTGTTTGCCCCCCACGCGCTTTACGCGGCCCCTCGCCCCACGCGCTGTGGGCTTGGGGGGCAGCGCTGTTTGCTGGTGCTGAGCCTGGCTTAGTGCCGGCCCCCGTGGGGAACCTGTGCCCAGGAGTTGGCATCGCTGGGGGCTCCGGCGTGGGGTGACATCCCTCCAACCTCCCCTCTGTGCAGGAGCCCCATCAAAGAGTCGCTTGCACTGATGCCCTTTTGAGATGCAAATCCAGACTGCAGCCCAATTTAGATTAGTGTAATTACCTGCAGTGCACAAACGGGGCTCTACTGTTTAATAGCCTTCACTTAAACCTTTTTGGAAGATCAAAAGGACTCCTATTGTTGAAGTTTAGTACTACAGCAATTGGAAGAGGCCTCTGTGGGTTTTGCGTTACCTTTGCAATCTTTTTTTCAAGTTCTGGTCTGTACTGTGGCACTTGAAATAAAAGTAGCTGAAGTAATTTCACTTCTCATTGCAAAACCAAGAGCTTTGTGATGTGTTAGGTCCACATCTCATAGGGAGATTTCTTCTCTGTGCTGCTTTCTTCTTGGCGCTTCAGGAAAATAATCCAGTCTCCTCTTGTTTTAGGCTTTAAAGAAATCAGTGCTCCGGCTATTACCCCACCTCTCGGCCAGCCCAAAAGATCAAAAAAGCGCCATACAAATTTAACACTGGATAAAATGATGGAAAAATTCCTGCAGCAGAGTGTGGATACAGAAGAGAAATTTTACAGATACGAAGAGCAGAGGCTCAAAATTGAGGACAAGCGTCGAGAAGCTGAGCACGCCCGAGAGCTCCAGATGTTGCAAATGTTGGGACAGATGTTGGCAGGAATTTCTTCCACAGTGTCACAGAGGTCACAGTCGCTGCCAGCAAGTCCACCTCAGAGAGCAAACCACCGTTCATATGGGGATAACTTTAATTATAATGCTATGGCAGCAGCACTTTCTCCACCGATAGGTATTTCCTTCTATCGCATAAATAAAAGCTCTTTTTTAAAAGTGTTATGTGGAAGCTCTCCTAGTAAGCGGCTTTTGGAAATAAAAGGCAGTTGAAATTATTTAATATTGTGCTGAAGGCGTCTCTCTGGTGTTTAATTCAAGTAAAATGTCGTTCGTGCCATTGTACTGATTGTTTAATGTAGATATATTTGGTTATAACAAATTTTAATGAGCGAAATAACACTCTTGAAAGTACCCTGTAAACACTGGGAGTTCTCTGCACGTTCTCGTCTCTAATGGAAGGTAGGAGAAGTTTTTTATATATATATAAAAGGCAAGTAGAGAATTTCCTGAAAATGCAACCTCGAGGCATTAGTTGCCTTGTAGCAGAAATTCTGCTGCTGTTGGAGCTAATAGGCCTGACTCAGTGTGGGGAGTTAAGGATGTGCCTGTGTTTTACCAAGGTTGGGAAAAGAGTGGAATTTTGCCTACGCTGAAGTAAGTCACGTGTTCCAAAATCAGATTCTTTTAAAATAAATTTCTTTACATGAAAATTCTGAATCTTATCTTTTAATTATCACATTGCTTTAGTAGGCAGAGTGAAAAAGGAAAATATTTGAGTATATTGTTATTCTGTGTTCTCTATCAGCTCATATATACATTTTTGAGGGTCTTGAATTTATTCCAGAGGGGAGAGGGGAAGCAAAAGAAATCCTGAGGAGCTCTAGAGTTGGTAATCACTCCCTGGGCTTTTCCTTCTGTACGTTATACGTTGTCCTGAAGCTGATAGTGAGGTAGCAGCCTTCCCTAACTGGTCTCTGAGCTCGGTCTGCTCGCTCCTGTGYCCTTTATCTTGCCCTGTTTGTGCGTATGAAGGCAGACTCGAGGGGCAGGAGCAGAACRGGGGTCTCTGTCAGTGCGGAAACACAGAGTGCTTTGGAAAAGCCATTAGCAAGTCATTGGAGACGCGGGGCGATGCTGCTTTGCTGTTAATTCTGACGTGTTCCGTGCTAAAAGTTGGAGTTTTGTTATCTGTAGGGGCTTGAGGCTAAGCTGCAGTTTCTTGTGCTGTGTTTTGTCACAGCTCACACTGCAAAAGGGTGTTGCACATGTACAACTGCAGTAACACCAGCTCAGGAGCCTGACTTCAACCAGGGAAGGGACTAACCAACAGTCTGTGGTTGAGGTGAAAAATGGCATTTCAGGCAAGATACTTTCTGCTAAGGATTCAGGATGTCAGTTGCTCATAGGTAGAACCGCCTCCATTTCTCCAGCTAAGGGGGGCTCTATTTAGATTTGTGCTCTGCATAATTCTCTGTTTTCTCTGTTTGTTTGTTTTATGTGATTGCTTTGTGTTCATAAATGAATGAAATCCAGCAGCAAAAAAGCAGAGGTCTTCCTTAACGGCAGTGGTGCTTTAAGGCTTACAAGGTGTATGAAATGTGTAGAGCTTTTTGTGCGTGGTTGAAAACCAGCGTATGTGTGAAGTGATATTTAAGGAAAATTATCTGCCCTATTTCCAGAGCAGATGAGTGTTTTGTTCTTCTCCGGGTGACTTCAGTGCTCTTTTGGCCGTATTCCAAAGCCCTTTTTTTCCCCCTCCTTTCTTCTCAATGGGAATGAAATGGCTGTGTTATGGAAGGGGTTTTAAAAGCAAAAGACCAAGGAGAGGAGTGTTTATTGTTAATAAYACGTTTTATAACTGAAGATTAGTGTGGCTGCTGTAGGGTCAGTTTCTGTGGAGAATGGAGAAAAAGCTGCTTTTTGCTGACAGGGCATGGATGGATTCTCTTGTTGGTTGTCTTTGCTTTGTTACATCCCCATTTTTTGGAATTGTTTTTCCTCGTCCTGTTTTTCCTGTTGGGATTTGGGGGAGGAGGGGAGGCTGCCAAGTCTTGCGYGGACTTGGGGTCCGTGGGCTCTTGGTGTCGTGGGGTTGACTTTGTGTGTGATTYTGTGTGAATATGGAGCAGCTCGTGGGCTGGTTTTTAGCAAGGCTGTTTGAAAGGACTGTTTGAAAGAGAGTGTGGCTGTGCTTCAGGAGATGGATATCAACATCCGTGCAAACCGCTGTGCTAAGTGGACTTGTGCAATAAGTGAGTTGGGTGGAAATGCAAGGATAAGAATTTATTCTTTCAGTACACTTGCTGCAATTTCTGATTAATGCATCGTTGGTGTAAGGTACTGATCTTTGCATTTGTGCCATTTTAAGTAACCCTGTGTTCATATCTCTCTAGTTGTAACCACTGAAATATTTTCTTCTACCTTTTCAGTCAATTGAAACATTAATTTGAATCTGCAGTTGTTCTGTTACATAGTTTGAAATGCAACTTCACATCAGAGATCTGTAGTTGAATTATAGGTAAAAATCCTTTGTGTGGTTGTTTGTAATATTTGCACCTAGCGCGTGTGCTTGCAGTTTTATGGAAAGGCTTCAGTTTGCCCTTTAACYACTTGCCAAGACACGGAGCCGTGAGGCTGGCCCAGCCTCTGCTTAGATGTAGAAGTTTTAAGGAGAAGTGAAAGTGAGGTAGGATTTTAAATTTCATTTTAAAAGGTGCTTTTAGCCCGTTCTGTGCTCGCTCGCAGTCCSGATTCAGTCATTGAGTCTTTACTAAGTGTTTCAGCTGAGCTGAGTTGTGGAAATGATGCCAAACTGAGCGGAGAAGGTGTTTGCAGAAGGTCCGTGCAGCTACTTTGGGTTGTTKATCTCTGTACCTAAGCCCCAAATCAGGGCACTGAGCAGTCAGTGCGAATATTTCAGTGTCTTTAAAGCCTTTAAATGATAAAGTATCCRTTTATAGAAATACATCACTTTGTGCATCCTGAAGTGTTTTTATTGACGTTTGAGTGCTTAAGTAAATGCTAGTTTAAGAAAGAACCCATTTTAATGCAATACTTTCTTCTTTTTTCCAGTTATAGAGAGGTCTTTTTCACTGCACAAAACACACACTCTAAAGGACATGGAGAATATTTTCCAACTGGTGCGCAACGTTATCCCCCCTCTAACGGGGAAAAGGCATAAAGGTCAAGATGGGCGCATAGGCATCGTTGGAGGATGTCAAGAGTAAGTTAAAAGGAAACCTGAGCAGTGCTCAGATAACTTGAGTATGTCATTATTACCTGTGCAAACCATTTAAGTTCACCCCATGGTTAAAATAATAGGTATTTTCCAGGGAATTTTCCTGGTGCATCATGATGATCACGCTTGCTTGTAAAAGAGAGTGTTGTCCCAAGATAGTGAGGCAAAATTTTGTTAGTGGGCATAGCTGCAACCTTTGAATATCAGTGCTTGTGTCTGCTGTCTTGTCTGACCACCTGGCTCACTCGCCCTCCTTTCAGTGTTAAGGTCTTGAGCTATAACGTGATAAGCTTATAGAAGTAGGTGAATAGAGAGAGGGGCACATCTGCTCTARGATAATCTTTATTTTATTTTGATATCATGGATGCTGTGTCTCTTCAGTTTTTCTTCATGCTTTCTATGCCAATGAATTGCAGTGTTTGTTAGAGTATAAAARTAACTTGCTTTATGTTCTAGAATAAAAGAAAGATCTGGTTTTAGGGGAAAAAAAAATATAATGTAAATCAATTAAATTTAGTGCTGACCTAGAAATAAAAACAGCCTGGATTCTGTTTCTTGACCATGTTTAGTAATCTGCTCGATATTACAAACGAGCTGCTAAATCTTTTTTTTTTCTTTGTTTTCAAAATAGAGGTGGATTTGTTTTTTCCTATAAGAGAGATCTGTAGTTATTAAAAAAATCTRTAAAGAGAAAAAATCTGCTTTATTACAGCTGGGACATTCTGGGTTGGTTTACCAAAATTAGTTTTCCTCCTGATGTGCTGGCCCTTACGTGTTGCCAGAAGTAGGTATCTCTAGAGGTAGATACCTATAGATATCTCTAGAGATGGAGGGTTTTCTGCCYGTGTCTTCCTCTTCAGTCATTCCAGTTGTCCCAAATTCTCTTTAGACTCAGGTTTAGTCCCTTTAGTTAAGTACTTAAAACCAGGTGGGACTGATTCCAGGTCATGGATCCCAGATTTGGCTTGCAAACCGCTTGCAAACAAAACGTTTGTCTTGTTTTGCTTTGCTTTGTTTTGTTTGTTTCTAACTAATAAGCTGGTTTTCTGAGAGGAGTTTACTTTTTTTTTTTTTTTTTTTTTTTTATGGCATGATCTTTGTAAATATTTTTGTCAGGGGGTCAGGTGGATAAGTTGAAAGCCTGATTCCTCGGAAATCAAACCAAGATTTCAGTGTCGCAGGATTTTATCCTGCCTTATTTTAATCTGCTTTTGAATTTGAGGTTTTGTTATGGCAGACTGCTTTTCAAATTAGCCAGCCTTATGAGCCTTTCCTAACCTAAACTGTATTTCATTCTAGATACACAGGAGCACCGTATTTTGCTGCAATTACAGCTCTGAAAGTGGTACGTGTTCTGCTTTTTGTACATATTTTCCCAGTTTACGGTAAAGTTAGAGATGTTACTTCAAAATATTGAAAATTTCAGAGGCTTGAATAGGATATTTTAAAACTCAATGACATATTTTCTTGGGAAGTGAATAATAAAATAACTTTAGATTAGTAATTAAAGTTATGTTCCTCATTGCTGCAGTCTGTTCTTCCAAATTTTGTTCTGCACCTGTTAAGTACCTCAATTSAAGTAACCTTCCTCAATCAATTATAGGCTGATTTTACAAGTTCTTACATGCCATAAATCTTAAAAAATATATGTTGAAATTAACATAATTATTTAATAGCATACTTTGTTTACATTTTGATTTTTATCAGAAGTGTTTGGCAAGTTCTTTTTTCCCTAGAAGTGTGAACTTCCTGATGTTAATAATACATTAAGTGGCTAATAGTGCATACGGCAGTCCTGTCTCTAATAGTAGAACTAAATACAGTTATGATTATTGAAATGTAAGTGAATCTTGCTTACATAATACTTACACTTGCTGTAATAATGTATATACTTACATATCTCTGCTCTGTGTATGCATCAGTCCTTTTTGTTCATTAAGAATGACTTCCTTTTTGAAGATCTGTTTAGATAGGTAGCTAGCCGATCCAGGTATCTCCTTCTCTCCTTCCCCTACTCCTAGTTTCTTCTTCTGCCCTTCAGAAGTTTTGCACCTCTAGATGCAGCCCCACAGGGGTTTCAAATTGGAACATGACAATTTAATAATCTTAAGATACTAAGGCTGCTCCGTTTTTTTGTTCATCACATGCCCATGCAGTAGTGCACTCAGCAGACCCCTACTGAAATTGCTTTGTCTTTGGTCATTACATCTTCACCTGAAGAGCCCCAGGGTCACCTCTCAGAATTGCATAGCAGTTTGAAATGTTAAATGTATATAAAGTCATAAAGCAAAGGAGACTCTCTTCTTCACCTTGGAAATTTCAGCGTGTAATACAGATACGAAATCAGATTCCCTGATCTCTGCTTTTATAATTTCGTGTGTACTTTGGATTTTTGAGTTGATAAGGAACCTTTGTAGCTCAACTCCCCAGCTTTAATGCTTGTTTAACTGAAGGGAAATTGGCAAAATTGTGCAGGCCTTCAGCTGGTACTAATTTGGCCACAGGTTGTCATATCTACATTTCCAGATCTATTATGGTATTATTTTTCTTCTCTGATGTAGCTTGTTCAGCTGTTGTTTTGTATTTTTCTTACTATGTGACCCTTTAGTCTTAGCTCTTCTGCCCATCTGAAATATTTATCTAATAAGTAAAAGGCTGAAGATATTCATTTTTAGACATTCTACCTTTTTTTTTTCTTAAGTTTATGTTGAAAGATGGAGAAAATGCTTTTGTTTTTCACCAAAACATTATATGACAGGTTAAGCCAAAATGGAAAAAGTAGTTAAGTTTGCTTTAACTACAAGCAAATAGGAATTTAGCTGTTCAGTGAATAAGCTTTGGAATGATTATGTCATTATTAAGTATAAGCTTCATAATTCTGTTTGCTAATTTTCTTTTTTAGGGTGCAGATTTATCCCACGTGTTTTGTACCAAAGACGCAGCAACTGTAATTAAATCATATAGTCCAGAGCTGATTGTTCATCCAGTTCTGTAAGTGACTTGTCTTTTGTTTAAATGAGCAAGTCAGGATTGCTAGTTTGAACGTTTCAGTCCGATAATTGGTTAGTTTGCATTACTTCTTTTCTGGAGTTACGAGATGGGTGACACAGAAATTACAAAAAAAGACTGATTTTGGCCTTAAAAATTTTGATAGAGAATAGCCAGTTGCGAGAGGCATTATTTTTCATTACTATCACACATTTAAAAAAAAAAAAAGAGAGAAAAGAAAAAGAAAAAAAAGCCAAGACATTGCTTTCCAATACCTGCTGACATTTTTTTTTTCTGATTGTAATACATTTAAATGAGAACAGTAGCAAAATCCAGAACTAAGGTTCACTACAAGTCAGCATTTTAGATTCTGYATTTGAAAGGACATGTAGAATATGTCCCAGTTCTTTCACGCCTTTAATGCTCATGCAAACCGTAGTGTATCTTTCTCCTCTCGCTGGTTGGTGTATGGTCGTCTGTGTGAAGTTACCAGGAGACATACTCAATCTCATCTTTCTTTGTAAGTGTGTGTAAGAATTGCACTGGATACACAGCAGTGGAATAAATACATGTTCTTATCTAAAACATGAGGTTTGTTAGAAAGAAKATGAGAAATTTAATAAGCCACAGTCTTAACTGTGAAAATCTGTGTACAAAAAAAATCTGTGTAGGGTAACTTGTTTCACTTGGATATTAGGAGCTTCAGAATGAACACTGTAGGTGCCGATGGAGATGGTGGCCTTTGAGACATGTCCTTGAGCTAAGCTTGCACCTGTGCGTGTTTTGGTCTGTTGGTGTATATAGCAAAGACATGATTAAGCTAGAAAAAAACATAATTTAAAAGCGCGTGTGTCAGATATTGCTGTCAAGAAAGATTTATGACAGTAGAAGTGTTCTGGTGGCTGAGAAATGTGATCTGCCCTATGGTTGAGGGCTGTAAGGTTACTGTGTGCTAAGGTGCTTTCTTTTCCTKTCTGTGCAGAGAGGTGCCTATTAGAAGTAAGTCAGGTAAAAAGATGGATATCAGGGATTTTGTATTTTGTTTTATTTTTGATTTATTTTCTAAAGAAAGTAAAAAAAACCCCACAGCTTTGTGAATTTTCGTCAGGGCAAAATACTTAAAAGCAGTRTGAAGATAGAAGTTTTTACAAGCATTAGCCTCAGACATCCAAGGCAGATCCTTAGGTGGTGTTGCAGATTTAGGAGCCATTTTGCCTGGCCCTATGCAAATAACAAATGAGTTGGAGAATCCTAATAGCAGTAGTAGCCTATAATTCAGGTTGTGGCAAGTGACACTCTGGGTATCTATCACCTGTGTCTRTATTCTGTGGGAAGGGTTGACCTTGCCCTGGGATAAACATGTTTTATATGTGTTTGATAGTTGTAGTGGAAAAGATTAATAGGAGAACAAAAAGAGGCAGAGTCAGAAAAGGAGGCAACAGTGTGTAAACAGTAATATTTCTATTCATAGAGGACTAGATTGTTTCTCCTGAATAATAGTATCTTCTCCATGGAAATTCTTGGTCAGTGTCTGCTGTGTAATGCAGATTTCAGTGATCATTTTTACCCTTCTGTTTGCAAGGGATGTTTGTTTTTAATCTTCACCTCCGTCTTTAAATTCTTCCAGCGGACAAAGTACATTGAAATACAGCAATCTGCATTCATGACCATATAGATTCGCGTCTTAAATCTGATGATAGTGCCTAACACTTTTATTACAACTCTAATTTCACAGGTGTCTAAATTGTGTGAATCAGTTGTTCTGTAAATATTGTTTAAACGATGAGTTTCAAAATGGAAAAAAATGCAAGTAGTGCAAGGTTTATCTTGTTAAGATTTCTCATAATTTCCTCTCTTTTTTTCTTCATTTGAGGAGAAGAGAAACAGTGGTCTTACCTAATTAGAAAGAGGGAAATCTTGACTAATTGTGTTGAACCTGGGTTTTACTCAAGTTTACCCAAGTATCCTATTGCTTTGTTTTAAGACTCTCTATAGCCCCGTGTCACACTTTTCATATACTCGTTGGTGTGTTCATAGGGAGCATTCTGAGTTTTGTGAGCGCTGGCAGCTGCTCTCAAAGCGGAGCCTGGTCTCTGGAACAGCCCTTGGAGTTTCCAGGGCATGGAAGACGCTCCAGGAGAAGCCCCCGAGCCCCTTGTTCGCTTTGTGGCCCTCCTTCATGCTCAGCTGTGTCCCCATTTCCCTGCCACCCTCCGCAGTACCCGTTTTAACCTCCTCGTCTCGGGCTGGTCGTGGTTAGGGCCTCGTGTGCGTCACGACCCGCTGTGGGAGCGGCTGGGCGCCTGCCAGGCCCCAGCTGCCATTTTGTGCCGCCAGAAGCCTGACATTTTGTCGCCTTCCCTGCCGCTTGGCGGCGGCCCCCTTTCAGCTCGGCGTTCACCTCACCGGGATCACCTTAAGGAGAGAACTTTCTCTTTTTTTCTTTTTCCTGAATGCAGGGGCTTTTCTGGCTCATTAGAGCTGCTTAGGRCTGGCTGCAGCAGCATGATTAAACGAGATGTGTGAGAGTGGGAGCTGGGGCTGTTGAGCCTCAGCTCCTTGGCAAACCTCTGCCACTTCAAGGATGTGAAGCATGTTATGTGAGAGGAATTCCTTAGGGTTGCAGAGGGACGGTTATGAAAACTGGCATCCAGCTTGTGAAGTTGCAAGTGCGAAGGGCAGTTCCATGTGTCCCAGCCTGCAGGTCAGTCTGCGAGTAATTTTTAGCGTAACATCCTGTACTAGAGACGCCGAAAACACAACTTTTCTACTTTTTATCTTGCAACCTCGTTCTCCATTCTTATGAATAAAGATAAGGGAGACAGAACTGCAAATTGCAGCCTGGGATCTGCAAAGACCATGTTTTACACCTGCCTCTGTGCACTCACCTCCTGAGCTGAATAAGGATAGTGTTATCTCTAGGACTGTAGATAGCCAATGTTATCGATAGTAGCTTTTCCTTTTTATCCAAGGATTCTATTAGATACATAATTKCACTTTCAGTGGGGCCTTGCTATTAATAAAATATTAATTAAAAGTTAACCAGCTATTAACTAACCTTTTCAATATTTTTGCTGATTGAGAGTTTCTTGTGAACAGCTTTAAAGTTCGTGATGCAGAAGTTGGAGTCTTCTGAATACAGGAGTGTACAGAGTCTTGCTCGTAGCTGTCTTGCTRTCATCAACACCACCTCCGTTTTTGCTACATTTTTTCTGTTTTCTCTATTCTTTATATAGTGTGCTTTTACTGTAAACTCTACACAAATATAGAGAAGATAAACATATAAAAGTGCAGGTACTGAATTTTTTAGTAGGCATTGTCTGTGTGTTTTCTGCTATAGATCTGTACACACTTTTTTGCATGAGTGCTTCACATTTTCTAGAAAACTGTTTTCAGGAGCTTTTTTTATATTCCACATTTCTATGCAGTGGCTCAAGTCAGCTTGAATAGACTTGAATAGGTATCTTGGATTAGCTTATCCTACCTGGATGGGCCCTTGATTGCAGAAGTGTATGAGCTGTCTGAAACCGGGTGGCACCATTTTAACTGAAGAGGGAATAATCAYTTCTGTCAGATCTCCTCTAATGAAGGCTTTCTCATAATCTTACTGTGTTTGTCTTTCGCTGTAGGCAGAGAGATGGAGGTGCTACTGAGTATTCTGCTTCAACCTGATTGACAGATAATTTATTTGTACTAGTCTATATATTCCTTGATTTTCTAGAATTTGTCAGAGAAGCAGACCAAGATGTCAGATGGTGAATCTCCTGTGGTCTGAAAGCCCTCTCATTTGTCCGTTGTGTCTCAAAAAAAGCCCTGTCCTTAAACTAGATATGGATACCTTTCTCTAAAACTTTAATACCTTTTTCACAGCTGGTCATAGTAATGAGACTGTATAGCCTGGGAAAGATTGCCAGTATTACTGGAAGTATTTAATTAATCCCTAAATTCAGCTGTTACTTTGGGTTTAAATGAAGATTGTTTGTTTTCACTCATGTAGGTATGTTGAGGCTGGCTACTGCTAATGAAAAAGCTCAACTTAGATCTGGGTTGCTGAAACATGTTTACCCARTTGTATCCGATTTTGGCTGATTTTTGATAGCTTGGGAAAGTCATGAAAGTGAMGCATGAATAGTGAGGTCCTGATAAATTATTTGAATACTTCTAACTGGTGCAGAAGCTTAGAAGCAGTTTTTGCTTTTGACCCTTTCTAATTTGATGTGTGAAAAGGAGATTCAAAAACGTGAGTCTRTTGCAGGGGGTGAAGCTTCTACCTTTTGGCTGTGTTGGCCAAGGGCAGCTGTTAAACATTTCTGCATGATGTAGAACTAGTTTCCCTCTTCTGGATCAGCTGCGACAAATTCTGACTGGGGCAAGAACTCTTTGCCACCAAGTAAAATGAAGGAGTGAAGAATGAAGTTCTTCTGATAACCAAAATGATGCTGTCCAGGTGGCTTGGTTGCTGGGTCCTTCTTGCACCTGTGGTGAAGACACAGGTCAGAATTTTGTGGCCTTTCTCCCAGGCCTCTTTTAGTCAGCAGCACAGTTCAGAATCACAGAGTTTCTTTTCTTACTTAGTGCTTAAGGAGAGATAAAGGTCAGTTTGTGTGTGTTGGCTCRGAGGATTAGACTTAAAGGTTTTCTGTTTGTGTCATCCAGCGCCTTGGACAACAGTTGGTTGTGGACCCATTTTCTGGGTCTGGCTTCTTTGGAAAGAGCTGCTGCTGCTTTGTGCTATGCTGCCGGCCAAATCAAAGGAGGGAGGGGTGTGCATCCTGTTTTGTAGCTCCTTCCTTGTTGTTATTGCAGGGGTCTTTACCCCAGGTGACACCAGTTGGTGGTCAGATGGTTTTATCATCTCCTCAAAGTGGACATTGCAGCAAAACATTTTGGCCTCATTGTGGAGAATGATTCTGTTCTGGCTGCCTTCTGGTGGGTTGGGAAGAGGAGTCTAAGGGAGCGGAAACTCTGCCCTCCTGTCAAGTCCTGGCCAAATTCGTCCTGCT